GTGTGTGTGTGTGTGTGTGTGTGTGTGTGTGCGTGCGTGTGTGTGTGTGTGTACGCGCGTGCATATTGATGTGTGCGTGCGTATGTGCATGCCTGTATGTGGATGTGCGTGCGTGCTGGTGCGCGTGTGTGCACGTGTGCGCATTTGCTAACTTACGCAACTATTGTCATCTTATTGTTTTGTCAGTGTATCAGGTCTCGGTTTACAAAGTTCATGCAGTATAAGCACAGGACTGCAAACGTACATCATTGTGAGAGAATATGATATACTCGTACTCATAGTTCCTATGGTCTGCCGAAAAGGCACAATAGACCCCTGAGTAATGCAGAAAAAGCTCCGGGGACATTAAACAGGTACCGATACAATCACTAGATGCTGGCTTCATTTATTATTCATACATTTGCTTGAATATTTTATGCTTGGCTAATTTATTCCGGATGTGCCCATCCACGCCACAATTTTGCAGTGGAGCCAGAAAGCTTTTAAAGAAAACGCATCTGAAATCTCATGCAGTGATTGGGTTGGCGGGATAAGTCCTTGTTCCCTATAGTCATCCCATGTCGTAACTTGGTTAAAGCGCTCTTTCACTTATTAATCATAAGCAACTACTCTCACTTATTTCTCCAGCCGAGTAGTTGTCAACAGCACCGTATATAATATAGTTATGACTATCGCATATGGCTATGTGTAAAGGTTATGTCATCCTAGACATGGCGTCTAAAGCCCGGCGCACATTGCCGAACATTTTGCTCAAAAACATTATCGTAGCAATGTTCCATGAAATGTTCGGCAATGTGCTGTGAAAAACGTCGCCGAACATTTGTGCCGAACAATGTTTCTGAAGATCGGAACTGTTTGATATCTCGAACATTGTTCGTCGAATGTTCGTCAATGTGCGCTAAATGTCGAACAATTCTAGGAACATTTGTAAAGTAGTAACCAATGGCAGCACGATATGTGGTCACATGATTTTTGTGCCCAATCATGCGTCGATCACGTGACTATTTACAACACAGCTACTATACGGCGCCACGAGGTTGTTCGCTGCAAAATGTTCGGCAATGTGCGCTCAGCAATTGTTCGCCCGCACATTGCCAGACAAAAACATTTGTTCGGGAAAATGTTCGGCAATGTGCGCCAGGCTTTAACTATTCACGGTCCCACGGACCACAATGTTATGGACAACGTGACCCAGAAATGGAAAGGAAATATCCCAAAGAAAAGCATCGTAAATACTTACGATTATCATCAGTGTAGAATGTCGTTCGCAATATGCTTCGTGAGCAATGATTGCGACATTCTCAAATTATGATGTCATAATTGTGTTTTGTGACACCGGGTGCCCCAAATACCCACCAGACATCTGCTGCTGCTCTTACACCGCAGTATCAGCGTTCTCCAAGAGCACTTATAGCCTGGCGACACTTATGCTTGCAGAATCTACGGTTTCTACGACGAATGCAAGCGACGCTACAACATTAAGCTCTGGAAGACGTTCACTGACTGTTTTAACTGCCTGCCCATCGGTAAGGCTCCGGGATGAGCGACTGCGAATGCACGTAGTGCCGTCATCTGTCAGTACTAGTAATACACTCAACAACGATAAGCCAGAGATGCCAACCACTACGATTTATCCGTATTTTATACGAATTTCTATTCTTTTTGCACCACTACGACCCAGTTTGTATCAAACTACGAATTTCCTTGTGATCGGAAAAAAAAATGATTTTGGTCAATTATTTTCATTTTTTGTCAATTTATTGTCATGTTTGATCCTCAGAATGCAGGAAATTGCATCTCAGAATCAAAAAATTTTCCGGGGGCCATGCCGGACCCCTTTAGCAAACTCGGGTCACTACGTGACCCTCGAACTACTAATTTGATTGCCAGAAACTACAGATTGCTTCAAATATGTGTTGGCATCTCTGATAAAGCAAAGAGGAAGTATGTCGTGCTCTGACGCAGATCTCATGCTGTGCGCGCATGCGTTAAATACTGACTATGTACTATGATGCACATACATTGTGTGCGTGCGTAATTCTCACACGCTTTAACATGCTGTGATACAGTCATATCATACTCTGCGTGTAAGAAATAACACACTTTCAGTTTAACATGTTGAAATATCGTGCTGTACGCGCAGGCGTTAAATGCTGAATTATATGTGCTATGATGCACACACTATATTTTGTGCGTGCGTAACTGACACGCTCATGCTCGGATACATGCAGTCATATCATACTGTGCGTGTCGTAACTAACACACTTTAACATGTTGAAACGCGGTGAATACATGGCATCTGTTGTTTCCCATGGTCGTACGTGACGGGATGCTTATAGATCTGTTATTGGATAGCTAGGTGCCTTCAGCAGGAAGAATCAATAATGAGAAAATACTGTACAGAAATAGCGACGGTAGCAGGTGCAATACGCACCGATCGCGTCGCGACGAGTTATTGTCATTGGCGTGCTTATGTGTTTCGCAGCGGCGTTGGTAGAGGGCACGATACTGTGCATGCACGGTGGATTGTCGCCCGACCTGCAGAGCCTGGAACAG